CCGTCAGGTCGACCAACGTTCCGTATAACACTGTGTTGAGGCTCAGCAATCACGCGGGGGGTGTCAACCTGTCGGAAACAGTCACTCACATTATCACATGTCGTACCTCCTGTATCAACCATCACCTTCCAGGTCCCTTCTTCAACTGCAACACCTGCAGTACAAATCTCCAATCCCTGGGACCTCTTCACGATGTTCACGGGAGCCACCATCCTTCGGGTCGTCCACTGATCCTTACTGAGAACACTGAGAACACATAGGAGAATAAAACAAAATATCGCTAAGAAACATGAGGCCAATTGAGGGATAAGCTTCCCGAGCCAGTCATGTCCATAGCCGGCAACATCCACTAGCCTGGCTTGGACCGAAGAGGGCACTAGACCTTTGAACACACCGCACCTACCTCTGACGTCTGGGGAATCTCTGGCTGGTTCACTACATGCTGTAACTTGCCATACCGCAAGCACACATCAGCCTTCGCTCCAGACTCGTTGGTATCCGTGGGCGTCTGCACACAAGGCCTCTCTTCTAGTTCAGGTACTTCTGCCATTGTAACCTCATGTTCCTTGTCGAGAGAAGAATCAGGAGACACTGCAGGTACTCCACTCGTGACATTCCTCCAATCCGATACCTTGCCTCTGATTATGGCCCTCATTTTTCTGTCAGTTAGGAAATTTTTCATCCATGTTAGTAGCTTACCTGTCACTCCTCCAATATGTTCCAGTTTCCAGAACAACCTCTTATGGGGAACTCTGTCGAAAGCCATTTTTAGGTCCAGATAGATGCAGTCAACCCAACCATCTCTTTCCTGTAAAATCTCTGTGGCTTGATCATAAAAACTGAGCAAGTTCGTTACACAGGATCTTCCAGATCGAAAACCATACTGTCTGTCTCATATTATAGCGTTTCCTCCAAGTGTTCTACCCATTTAGTTTTAATTAATTTTTCCAATATTTTGACTATTACACTTGTCAATGATACAGGTCTATAATTAAGGGGGTCTTCCCTGTTTCCACTTTTGTAGATTGGAACTATGTTAGCCTTTTTCCTCACATCAGCTACAGCTCCTGTACACAGGGATGCCTGAAAAATCAGTTGAAGTGGAATGCTGAGCTCAGGTGCACATTCTCTCAGAACCCATGGTGAAACTCCATCTGGACCAACTGCTTTGTTCTTACTTAGCTTCTTGAGCATTTTTTCCACATCGTCTCTAGACACCTCTATGTGCTCTATGTTGTTCTCTGGAATTCTTATTGTAACTGGTTCCCTAAAGATTTCATTTTGTACAAACACACTTTGGAACTTTTCGTTTAGTGTTTCACACATTTCCTTTTCATCTTCCGTGAATCTATTTCCCATTTTCAACCTCTGAATATTATCCTTTACCTGCAATTTGTTGTTTATTGTTACGGCCCTCTCGGGACGCAACGGGGTTCTTACTCTGATGTTGTTAGAGGAAGATATATGTATCCGTTCCCAAGCCAGTAGTGGCTATCAAGGGATGAGATCCGTGACGCAAGTAACTTAAAAGGGAGTAGGGAAAGAAAGTTAAGAACTTAATATTATAATGTTCACCATCACCAATTAAATATATAGAATAAAAGAGTACACAAGGGGGAGGGGTATTAACACTTTACAAGGGGATCGTGCACAATCTAGTCTTCTGCTGAAGACTCTTGATCAATAAGCTAGGTGCTGAGTCCGCGGTGCTTTCTTCGTGGCCTCAAGACGTGTCTTCTGAGAATACCGAGCCTACCCTGGCCACAGGTCAGCCAAAACACAGGTCCACTGGGGGCACCGTCGTGGAGGCCGTCAACCACACGTCCAGCAGGTCTGCTGGCAGGTACTGAGCCACCAAGGCTGGTACGGCCACTCCACGAACGATAAAAGGGGTACGCCCTAGACAGGAGTCTCGTGTGATATCACAAATCACCCTCCTGTCCTCAATACCCCAGTGGATGATAGTCTCCAACAGTCGGTCCCGGGTAAATCCTTTCACTGCCACTCCAATGGCAGGCTAACACACCACAGTGTTCTTCCGGGGGGACGACGTCACAATAGCTGCAGCAAACTTCACAGTATGGAGACTGGCTGCCTCGGGTAGACTGACTCAATCGTCAACACAGTGGTCCCAGGTCGACTCTGTAAACAGACACGTCATCAATAACTGGGACACTAATACACCACACTCACAGGCTAGGGCACAAACACCTGACGTATCCAGTCCATAGATGGCGCTGTCGTCGGAGCACCACCTCACCAGAGGTCAGGAGCGGCGGTGTTGAGCGCTGAACCAGACTGGAAACTGGTCCTCGAGGCCAGTACACGCTGTCCTCACTAGGTGTCGTCGTTCGTTTGGCGGGGGTTTCGGGAGCTGACCCACAGATGGCGTAGTTGTTACTGCTCCTTGCTCGGACGCTGGATCCGGGTTCGTAACATTTATGAATTTATAGAATAGACCTGGTTCTGTTTTACATTTGTCTGCAATCCCTTTTTCAAAATTTCTTTCTGCCTCTCTCCTCACTGCTGTGTAGTTGTTTCTTGCATCTTTGTATCGCTGGTATGTTTGGGGGTTCGGCCTCTTCCTGTATTGATTCCATTTTTGTGTCTCTTGGTCTCTAGCCCTCTTGCAATTTCTATTGAACCAATCCTGTTTCCTAGTTCTGCATCTCTGTTTTGGTATAAATTTTTTTGTGTCTTTATCATATATTTCACAAAACTTGACATACATCTCATTCACTTCCTTGCCTAGCATCAAGTCTGTCCAATTATACTCACTAAAAAAATTTCTAAAGTCACCATAATGTCCTCTCCTGAAGTCTGGTTTTTCAACTGCTTCAACCTCCTTATTTTCTTCCAGCTTATAACGCATTGCATACTTTATTCCCAAAAAGACATGGTCACTTTTACCCAAGGGAGGAAGGTACTGAATGTCAAATATTTCTTCCTCCTTCCTGGTAAATATCAAATCTAGCATGGAGGGAACGTCCCCTTCCCTCATCCTCGTAGCTTGTTTAACATGTTGATACAAAAATGTTTCCAGGATGAGGTCTACAAATCTACAGGTACAAAAATCTTCTGTTTTAACTTCATATGCTTCCTAGTCTATGGATTTCAAGTTGAAGTCACCGACTATCAACAGTTGTGATCTATCGTTATCCGCTCTCGCTATAATCTCTCTCATTATTGTTATAAGACCATCACGTTTACTATCTAGCTCCTCCGTGTCCTTTTTTTACAGTCACAAAGAACAATGAATTTCAATCCAAATCTGTTTCGTTTGGAGGGAATATACTGCTTAAATGAAACACGTCCTTTGAAAGCACAAGGGGATTCGTCAATCACCAGTTTCTGTGCTGGTACGTAAAAATCTCTGAACTTTCCAATCACTTCATTCATATAGTGCTTCACTTGCCAAAGTCTATCATCCTCTGTCTGGTCCTCATTACTTGCAAAATACACACACCTGAGGAGTATCTGAAACCTGTCTCGGGACATATATTTCCCGAAGAAAGGTGTTGGAATTGTCAGATCTTTGCTCCAATAATCTGTGATAGCGTGTTTGACACAGTGCTTCATCAACATACATATTGCTAAAAACACATACGTTTCACCTACAGTGGTGGTTTTCCAACTCTGCAATCGTGAAAATTCTGTTATCTCTTTTCCAATGAGATGAGCCACATGAAGGTTTGTTTGGTGTACAATATATTCCATGAGCGGCTCATCATAGAATGCTGTAAAATAATGCAATTCACACATGTCCTCTCCATTATCAGGGAAAAGCTCTGTAATCCCAAATGTCTTTATTGTCAAAGGCAGGAATTCGAGGAATAAAACTGGCACCATCACTCCACACAAGTACACCTGGTGTCCTGTGAGATGCATCAGGGACACGATGGCGAGGAAGCGATGCACACCGTGGACCAGGAGCTGAAGCCCGTCTACGCACAGTATGACCGCTACGTGTACGTGAGGTGGAAGCACGTGAACATGAGGCTCTTGGTGCCTCATGTTGTTTCATGCGGTGGCGCTTGGCTGGCCGAGATGCTGCTGTTGTGACAAATTCTCGCCCAGTAACACCACTGGTACTGGCACAGGCTCGGTAACACTATGCTCTTTTTCCCCTTCACTAAAACCAGAAAAAGAGTCGCCTTCCTCTGACTCGTCACCCAAAATATCCTCAGACTCTAAATAAGCATAGGAACTGTGTGGTCGTGGGTGAATTGGAGTAGACGCTGGGCGAGGTGGCATGGGTGAGCGTATAGGCCTCCCCTTGGGAGGCGGCTGTATCTCATTTTCACTGTCTGTGCTACTATCATTGGTCAATTGTGTGTAGTCCCTATCATTGTCAGTCATCAAAATCACTTTCCTCACCATCAGAAAATAATTCACTATTTATTTGCTCTTGGGTGAGTGATTGCGTGGTGCGCGCCCGGGAGGCATTCGGCTGTGGGCTCGACATGGTGGCTGCTGGGTAACTGATGCCTCCCACGTGATGGTAGCATGAGCTCGATTTTTTTACAAAATGCCGGCTGTTTACTATAGCCGCTGGGCAGCCTATGGGGGGGCCCCCTCTACCCCGCGGCGATACTCCAAAACATCATATGATGTGGAGCGCAAGTTATTCAACCCATCATATGATGTGTTGCTCAGTTTAAGGGTTAAGCACTTACCTTTCTGGGGTGCTCAACCCCGGTCGATGGCAGACATAAATACTTTCATACATGTGAGTTTTACTGAGGGGCCATTGCTCCCTTCACCTCTCTGAGGGGACCATGTTCTGACTAGTGGTCCCTGGTAGGCATGAGAACTGCATATGACTGAAGTCCCCGTACTAATATCAGTCCAATAGCTCCAGGGGGACCTCCGGAGCTCTACCCAGAAAATGGCCTGTCATTACATTTAACGCTGTTTTTATTAGTGTTTTAATCTTGTTTAAGAAATGTCAAAATAATGAGTATGTATAAGGTTCTGCACATTATTTATTTATTTTTTAGGGACACCAGGAATGGAACATGAGGATGTCGAAGCTGCCGGTTTATCGAGTGGGGAGGTTGAATTCCATCTGTCGTGCAGGTACACCCAATCTGAATTTAATATACTATATGTGATCTTAAAATTAAAATACATTTAATTCACTAAAATTGCTGTAGAAAATATAGACAAACCCAAAGATCAGGCTGCAGATATCAGCACAGATATCTGCCAAAATACCTCAAAAGGTATTTTGAGGTACCTACCTATCTGTTGAAGATTCTGAGGATCAATGTCCTCATGGCCCGGTCTCTGAGCAGGCCTCCTGGTAGCTGGTCTGATGAACCAGGCTGTTCGATGCGGCTGCTCGCAGCCTGAAATACGAATCACAGCCTGGTGTATCAGGTATCATTTGAAAGTGCCTGTCAAGTTCTCTTTTGAACACTGAAAGGTTGTTATGACAACCTTGTCCATGCTAGGTCAGCGAATACATTTTTCCACTCACAGATTTCACTGCCACTGCATCCCATCGCTGAGGGATGGATCGGTTGAGACCTATAAGCCAGTCTGTGATAGTTTGCCTGCCCTGTCCAGCCCACTTACTCTGCCTGTCCACCCACTCTGCCTGTCCACCCACTCTGCCTGTACACCCACTCTGCCTGTACACCCACTCTGCCTGTACACCCACTCTGCCTGTCCACCCACTCTGCCTGTCCACCCACTCTGCCTGTCCACCCACTCTGCCTGTCCACCCACTCTGCCTGTCCACCCACTCTGCCTGTCCACCCACTCTGCCTGTCCACCCACTCTGCCTGTACACCCACTCTGCCTGTCCACCCACTCTGCCTGTCCACCCACTCTGCCTGTCCACCCACTCTGCCTGTCCACTCACTCTGCCTGTCCACCCACTCTGCCTGTCCACCCACTCTGCCTGTCCACCCACCCTGCCTGTCCACCTACTCTGCCTGTCCACCCACTCTGCCTGTCCACCCACTCTGCCTGTACACTCACTCTGCCTGTCCACCCACTCTGCCTGTCCACCCACTCTGCCTGTCCACCCACTCTGCCTGTCCACCCACTCTGCCTGTCCACCCACACTGCCTGTCCACCCACCCTGCCTGTCCACCCACCCTGCCTGTCCACCCACTCTGCCTGTCCACCCACTCTGCCTGTCCACCCACTCTGCCTGTCCACCCACCCTGCCTGTCTACCTGCCAGCCACAAATCCATCCATCCATCCATCCACCCTGCCCGCACACCTTTCCTACTCGCCTGCCTGTCAGCGACCAGTCCATCCATCCACCTACCCTGCTCGGAGGTCTGACTCTTGGGGTTTGCGTTGGCTCATTTACAGGTTGACCTTTGATGGGTCGATGGGGTGGAGGCTGGCTCTATTTGTCCATGCCTGGTACCACAATTCATGGCCTTTTCAGGTTGCGTCTCGTGTCTTGGGAGGCCTTGGGTGGCGTTGGGCGGCCTTTCGTCCTCCTAGTGGGTTAGGTCTGATGGGGCAAAGGTCGTTTGCAGCCCCTTCCGATCCCTCAGAAATTAACATTTTAAGAAGACTTTTTTTTTTTTTTTTTGCTCACAGGAGTGTAAATCTCCCCAGGACCCCTTAGCAGCTTAAGGGTTAAGTCCAGCCCTGACCAAATCACTGTATAGAGGTTTCACAAACTCAAACAATGCTTCAAATGCCTCCAATATGATCATTACTCAAGCACCTGCAAGATTGGAATCCCCAAGTACAGCAGGTGCGCAGGGGAGCACAACTCTTGGGCTCTTACATTTGGGCTGAATCTGGCAACTCTAGTATTTATGCGCGGGATTCAGGTCGTGGTGGCTTGTCTTCGTTTGTTGGGACTGAGAGTTTTGGCTTATCTCAACGACTGGTTGGTGTGGGCTCCTAGCTGGTCTGCTTGTCTGCTAGCCAGTGATCTGGTTCTTTCCCAGCTTGATGGGTTTAGGTTCCTGGTGAACTGAAGGAAGTCCCAGTTGATTCTGTCCCCAGGTTCAGACCTGGTTGGCCCTGATTCAGGATTCTCGGTCAGGTTCGCTTTCCGAGCAGCTGTAGTCTACTCCGGCTGCAGTCCCACCATCTAATGCTGTTGAGAGGGACCGGGGTTACGCGACGGATTCTCGAGCAGTTGTGCACGAATCTGAATTTTGCCCTTCTGGTTTACCCATTTGGCAGCGTTTAGCTCCAGAAGCTGTTCTGTTATCTTCAGAGCACCCCCTTTTGCTGCTCTCGCAATCTCTGGGTTCAGGTTTTGGTGTCCCTTTGCTAGTTGCTGTATCACCTGCTGCTTCTTCGATTTTCTGGGGGAAGCCCTTACAGCTCCCCAGAGCTATCCATACTGATATTGCTATATTAGACTTTGGCATCAGTCATGTGAATGGAGTTCTTAGGCCTACGGGGACCACGATCCAGAACCTGGCCCTCTCAGAGAGGCACAAGGACCAATGGCCTATAGAAACCCGCATAAGGTTGGAAGCACACTACAGTGGCACCTCGATTAACGAATTTAATCCATTCCGGCACCAAGCTCATCATGTGGAAAACTCGTCTTGTGAAACAACAACAAAACTGTCGTCGAAGGTGTCAGAGACCCAGCGGGAATGCTCGTTAATCGAGCGAAAGCTCGTCAGTCGAGACTCGAAATGCTTATAACTGGAGCCGTTCGTCACTCGAGGTTCCACTGCATATCTGCCATCGACCGGATCAGGCAACCCAGAAAGGTACCATCCCAAACAACACCCCTATTCTGGTTAAAAAATTGCTACTGAAAGCCAAACTAGCGAACAGAACTCCCCAAACAAAGAGGAGCAAATGAGCATGCCGACACCACGTTGCTGCGCCATCCATTGGACGGTTCTACACATCGTTGGGTTTCCTGTCTGTTTCCAGTTCCGAAACGGGACTGTGCAGACCTGCAGTTCATTCTGTACTTGTCCCATCTGAACCCCTGAGTTCTTTGCCCCTCCTTTCGGATGACTACCCTGTGCCAGGTCCTGCTTCTGTTGGAGCCAGGTGCTTGGATGGGATCACTGGACCTCAAGGACGCGTATTGGCATGTCCTGCTTCATCCGGGCTTGAGGGACTGGCTCGGTTTTGTTGTGGAGCATATCGGTTACTGCTTTCGTAGTCTCCCATTCAGGTTGAACCTGGCACCTCGCATTTTCACACACCTTACCTGGGTCATAGTGGCTCATCTGCATCTCTTAGGTGTTCGAGTGTTGGCCTACCCCGATGACTGGCTGGTATGGGTTCCCAGACATTCCGTGTGTCTGCTCGCCAGGGATTTGGTTCTTTCCCAGCTCGCTTGGTTCGGGTTCTTGGTGAATTGAAGGAAGGCCCATCTGGTCCCCTCCCAGGTTCAGACTTGACTGGGTCTTGTGTGGGACTCTCGGACTGCTTCCTTGTCTCTCCCTCTGGAGAGTCTGCTTCGGCTGTGATTCTACCTTTGCCTGTTTATGGGAGGCTCCCCGGTCATCCGGCAGTTACTCGAGGGTTTGTGCAGGAGCCTTAACTTTGCCGTGATGGTCTACCCTCTGAGTCGGGTTTGGCTTCGTCGGCTGTTCTGGTTCCTTCGGGGACATCCCTTCCACCTCTCTCACGATCGCTGGGTTTGACCTCCAGGGACTTTGCATCGGTTGCTACGTCCCTGTCTTCCTCTTCGGGTTTTTCGAGATTCAGTGCCTTGGCACCTACCCGACCCCTCCCCTTGATGTGTTCACGGATGCGTCATCTCTGGGCTGGGGCTTTGTGACCAGGTCTCACCAGGCTGGCCAAGGGCGATGGGGGTCTGTCCTGCTGTCGGGCTCACAGCACGGTGCGGGAGTTCGCTGCAGTCTAGTATTCAGAGTGGTGTGGCTTCGTAGGGTTCGGGTTGCCCACGGATCGACGATCTGGCTCCATCCGGACTGCTCCCCTGTGATTCATTACCTGAACCGAGGGGGTTCGATGCGGTCCTTGGCTTTATGGTGCTGGTCGCTTCGGGTGACTCGTCTGCTGAGTTCTCGGGGTTTGGCTCAACTGGCCGTTCACATTTGGGGGAGTGCCCAATGTCCTGGTAGACGGCCTGTCTCGGTTCATTCCTCTGTCCATGGAATGGACGGTCGACGCCTACTCATTCAGTTGCTCTGCTGGACGTACAGGATCTTGGAGGTGGACCTCTTTGTGTCAGCATCGTTGTGGCTTCTCCTGTTGTACGTGGTGACCCTCCCCAATTGCTAGGTCGACGGGATCGGCGCCTTCAGGCAGGACTGGTCAAGTTGGGGGTTCCTGTATCTCTTCCCCCTGGTTCAGCTGTTGCTCCAGGTCCTAACTCACTTGGAGACTTACCAGGGGAAGAGTTTGTCCTCTTGGCTCCTTGTAGGTCGGCCCCAGTCATGGTTTCAGGCGCTGCTTGCTCGATGTCCGAACCCCGGTGGTTGTCCCGCGGCTCCACCACTTTCAGATCTGTCCTATACGTTTCTGGTTCGATCTTCTCCTCGAGTCTTTGCGTCTGTTTTTTTTTACTCGAGTCTATCACCACTTGAATGGCGAGCAGGTGGCTCTTTTTTGGTGTCCCACCTGCGGGCTTCGTCTCGACAGCAGTATGAAGTTTCCTGGCGGTCCTTCCGTTTCTTTTTGTCCTTTCGTAGGTTTCAGGACCATCATCTTATGCTAAACACTGTCACCTCGTATCATGCGGCGCTGGTGGAGACGCTGCAGCTTGCTTTTGGTATTGATGTAACTTCTGCACTGTTTTGCAAGCTGTCTCATGCATTGTTTCACCTCCGGCCTGCTCATGCACCGCTTGAGACGTCCTGGTCCTTGGATCAGGTGCCCTTATCTCTCTTCTTCTCAGTTTGTTGTGGCCCCTTTGGTTTTGACTTGTTTCTCCAAGGATCTTTTCTTGTTGGGATTGGCCTCTGGGGGTTGGCTCGGGGAGCTTCATGCTTTCCTCTGGCGCAGGAGTTACTGCTCTTTTGGTTCTGGTGATAGGTTTGTTTAGTTGCAGCTGTCTCCTGTTTTTCTGGTGAAGAATGAAACGGCTGCTTTCTGGTGGGGTCTTTAGGTTGTTGATGCTTGGTTGGTTAAACAGGGGGTGCATCATATG